TGAACCCTGAACCCAAAGCAGTGAAGATTACCTGGTGCGCAGTAGCCTAACCCACACGCCAGGACCTCCACCGAGAGAGAGAGAGAGAGAGAGAGAGAGAGAGAGAGAGAGAGAGAGAGAGAGAGAGAGAGAGAGAGAGAGAGAGAGACCTGAATTTGGAAGAAAGATAAAATAAACACTACATATACAAAACAAGTGACGTCATAATAAACAAGCTGTGTGTGTGTGTGTGTAGAGGTAGACGAGGACTTGTTGTGCCTTAATAAACACAGTCATGAATGAAGAACTTGAAAGAAAACCCAAATTAGACTACTTAACCTGACTATCAAGGTATAAGGTATTTCCCCGTGCGGTTACCTGCTACAGATTACAGATTGCCATGAGGGGCTAGTTTACTGGGCACTCCCTAACATCCTGTGCAAGGTGAAGCGCAGAAGGTTACAGTGCCCAACTGGGAAGCATGCGGAGTTCAAGGCTCTTTATGACTCATGCATTAAGGGCGTAAAGGCCTGAAGGGTGTCATGGGCCCCTGTCTCATCAACAGAACACATTATATAAATGGGTCAATACATCTGATATTATATTCAGATTCACCACCCTGTAACTTTCCACTGGCTATGAGGTGACATGTTCAATGTACGTGATAAGGTGTGCCCACGGGAAGCTGCGTCATACTATGCTGAGTAGGAATAAGTCGCCGCCTTCGGCCACCTGAAGCGAGCAGTAGTTTGATATCCTTGACTAGAGGAAGACGTTATTTGAGAGCCGCAGTGGATGGCCCGCTTCCCTCGAGGGGAACGACGTACCCATACCGTTCTCCTCGATGGGTCACTACTCATGAGTCGCTCACATCAACTTATATCGTAAGGACGTGACCTAACGTTTATAATACATAAACGCCGTCCCTTTCTCATTCACTCATATACAGTGGAACTTACGGTCGATCTACACTCAGGAATTATATATACAGTACAACCCTTTTATAATAAAACAAGGAACTACCGTTTGGGTTTCGTTACTCAAACCCAAATAATAAATATATGTGAACGGCCTGGTTAATTGCACAAGCAGCCGATTCAATGGTCATGGGTTTTGTCAGCAAGGTACATAAAGTGACAGAATGATGAGTGTGTGGGGGGGAAATTCCCGGTACATTTCATCTGTTTACTGTATAGCAAAGCGTGGCAGGTCCCTAATAATGTCAAGTGCCAGGCCTGTGACTAGGAGGAGGGATATCTGGTCAGGGAGGGAAGAGATGTTGGTAGCGGCTGGGGACCTGTAGGAGGAGGTCATAGGGTAAGTGAGGATGTAGTGACGGAGGGTGTGAGAGTCGGGTTGGCCACAAAGTTTACAAACAGTGCGGCCAGGCTCAGGGTTGCCAATGTACTCCCATAGGTACCTGTACCCTAGGCGCAGTCTCATGTATATAATCTGTTGAGATCGAGTCAGAGATTGATACTCTTTGTAGTGGCGGTTGGAGTCACCGGTTACAGCGTCATAGTGGCATAGTGTGACGCTGCCCCTTTGTTTCAGGTGTGTCCATTTTACGTCGAATGCTTCTCGTTGTGTGGCGTGTATGCGAGATTTGAGATGATTCAGGGAGAGGGCGAGGGTGGCTTCAATATCTTCTTCTTGTGTCGCTTCTTTGGCAAGTCGATCATCAGTGTCACAGGCAGTTATTCCTATATGTGACGGGATCCAAATAAACTTGACACGGATGTCATCAGTTTGTTCTAGATTGGCGACGGCGGCTAGGGTGTGTTGGGCAGCAGGGGAGGAGGGGGGGGGGTAATTTGAGCCTCGCTAGCGCAGAAGTGCTGTCACTGATTATCAGGAGGTTCCGGCGTTCAGTGCGAGCATAGGTCGCCCCCTCATGAATGCCCGTGAGGATGGCTATGCTTTCAGTGTCAGTGGAGGAGGCCCAGTCGTGGACCCTGATTTTCTTGCGGGCCTGGCGCTCAGGAATCCATACAGCTGCCCCAGCGCAGCCCAGCGTGGTGACAGACCCATCACAGAAGACGAGCATAGGAGGGAGAGAGGTCGTAAGAGAAGAGGCGACATGATCAATCTGCTCAAGGCATATACCGCAGTTGGGTGGATTTACGACCAGGGAAGGTGTGGACGACAACATCAACACACGGGGAGGTCCACGGCGGTAGAGGTGGATGAGTGTACTCGGGAGGGAGAGAGGTCGAGGGGGTGTAGAGGTGATAACGCAGGATGTCAGCAGCAGTGTGGACGGGCCAGTGTTGAGAGAGGGAGGGAGAGGTAATGGGGGCAGGCCGGCGCAGGAGGGAGTCAAGATGTGAGTTCAGTGAGCGAGACAGGGGAGTCGGTTTCTCACTGTGAAGGAGTTTAACACCTAGGATGGCATTGAGAGCAGTAATTCGATCGCAGACTGGAAGCAGGATCAGTTCATGCTCCATGACTTCTATTCTGGTGGTCACAGGGCAGCCGAGGATGAGTCTCATCGCTCTGTTTTGGATTTTCTCTATGCTTCGTTTCTCGCATTGGGAGGCAACTACAAGGACAGGGGAGGCATAATCTATGACAGCTCTGACGATAGCAATGTACATGAGGCGTAGGGGACCCCGACAGAGGCCCCTTTGAGGCCGTGGGTGGGGACTGAGGGGCCCTGTCTGTTGGCGGCAATTGGGAGATGACGTGGGTGCCCATTTGATCGATGTCTTGTCCTTGCAGAGTCAGCGGAGTCTGACGCCGGCGTGAGATGAACTTGGTTTTAGTGTGTGTGAGAGATGACCAGCCCGGGAGGTTTAATAGCCCAAGCGAATGTGGAGAGTATAGGTTGTCTGGCGTTGCACTGTAGTACTTGGAGGAGAATATTATCGGCGTAGCGATGTGACCGTCTAGGGCGCGCCTACAAAGATGTCAAGAGGCGGTAGATGGAGTTCATGAGAACATTAAAGAGTGTAGGGCTGAGTACACCTTCCTGAGTAAGTGTGCCAAGATCAAGGTCCTCATCGTAGAGTAGTGGCCCTGAAACCGGACACGGGCCTGTCGACGGAAGAGGTAGTCAGCAATCCACGTGGAGGAGTCGGTTCTTCATGACTACTGAGTGAGACCCCTCAAGGATCACTTCCATCATTACTTTATCAAAAGCACCCTTTGAAGTCGACGAAGAGGGAGGTTTTAGCTGAGGTGTTCGCCAGTAGTGAGCGATGCAGTGAGCAGTATACTCTTTTCCGGGGCGGAAACCATAGTGGTCAAGGTAGGGCTGGGCTTCCACTTTTTCAGTGGAGGCGGTGGCGTATCATGCGCCCCATCATCTTTTGAGAAGCAGGAGGTGAGGAGATTGGATGATATTCCTCCTTGTCTGCCTGGTTTAGGACTGGATGGTGGTGGCAGTCTTCCATAAGTGAGGCAGCTGACCAGTATCATAAGAGAGGTTAAATAGACAGAGGAGGGGGGCCAGGGGTGGCACAAGGCATTTAGCACTTCATATGACGCCGTCATCGCCAGGGCGGTGGACCGGCCGCGCTTAATAGCATTTAGTAGTTCACACTGTGTGAAAGCGTACATCAGTGTCTGCAGATAGGTCTTGGTACTTCCGGAGATGCGCTGTCGGCGTTGTGGTTGCAGTGCGAGGGTGGGGGATCCCGTACAGCGGGTGGTAGTGCATCATCGGGAGGCGGCCTCCTGCCACGTTCGCTGGGGAGAGAGCGCCTCGGCTCTCGGGCAGCTGGTCTGGGGGTGGAGCGCGCGGGTCTGGCGTTGATGCCCTGGGTACGGTTAATGGTGCGCTATAATACCTATAGATGTAGACTGGTCAATAGAAGAAGCTGTAAAGTCAAATCCACTGCTTTCCTTCTCGCCGTGCGAGAGTGATGGCAGATTGAGCCTTATTTGTGCGCATCAGGAAGCGTAGAGCGTCAGGAGCTGGGAGATTTCTTCCACTGGTTGACTGCTAGTCGGTGCCATACCGGAAAGACTTAAAATAAGGGTCGCGGTTAACATTCCAATGACTCCTGGCTGGCGGTTAGGCGGCGGTGTTTTGGGGGCAGGGCGGAGGAGGGTAGTGCATTGTTTGGACAGATCAAGGTAGAGTTGGTCTTTAGTGGTTACAGTGTAATCCTGAAACCATTCAGCAATGGTAGTGATGAAGGCAGGTATGTTGGCAGGGGGTAGGCTGAGCCTAGGGCCCTTGGGTGGGGGGGTATTTCACTACTGAGGGTAGTGTGGATAGGAAATGGTCACTGTGGGGGGAGGGAGATGTGGTGGAGTAGTGAGGCCAGAGTAGAGAGCGATGTAGTCAAGTTTCCCTCCCCGATGTGGGTGGGGTGAAGAGGCAGAGAAGACGTACAGGGTCATCAGTGGTTTGTAGGTAGGAGAGCCAGGAGTTACCCTGAGCTGAGTGGGGGCCCCTGGGGAGCCGAGACTGGGGTGTCTGGCACAGGTCCGCCACAAGGAGGGTGGGGGTGGAGGCAGATATGGTGTGGTAGGACAGGTACAGTAGGGGTGGAGGGAGGCACATAGACATTGACAATATTGAGGGATTACACCTTTTAGTGCTATACACTAGGTGGGTTGCCGCCTTGCGTGATATCTGACCTTTGTATACTGTTACGAATTAGTCTGTCTGTCTGTCTGTCTGTCTATTTCTCACTTTTCTCTCTCTATCTGTTTCTGTCTGTCTCTCTCTCTCTTGACTATCTTTGTCTATCTTTCTTTCTCTCCCCATCTCTAAAATCTCTCACAATGACCAAAGAAAGGTCAACAAGCAAATTAAAACCGAAACAAGAAGAGAAAACAAAACTAAATAAAACAGGTGAAATAACCTAACCTAACCTAACCAAGAATACACCTAAACTATTGCTCACTGGTTCATAAATTAACAGTCAGGAAGATGAAATTAGAGAGAGAGAGAGAGAGAGAGAGAGAGAGAGAGAGAGAGAGAGAGAGAGAGAGAGAGAGAGAGAGAGAGAATTGTTAAGGCCTAAATCAATACACAAACCTCAGAGGGGAAAAGGCTGAGTGCTTACCTTGTTCCGCATGGTGGTGAGGAAGGTGGAGAGGGAGAACATGCCTCCGTCAGCCTCAGAACACTTCGTCAGGTTGTTCCTCAGCCAGGTGACGTTTTCTCGGAGTTTCATCTCTCTCTGAGCCTCGAGCATCATCTCTGAGGCAATGATTTCATCCTCGTCATTCTCCTGCAGGTCGGGGTCCGGTGATATGGTGGCCTGTGCCTCCTCCGGGATCTGAAGGGGCAAGAGTAGACTGTTGGCTCGCGTTGGTGTCGACACAACGGAGACCGAATTTAGCTTCCTGAGAGAGTTTTTGTGTGACCGTCTGGACCAGAAGTTACGATTTCTGAAGTTTTCAATGATGTGTTCCTCGAAGTCACAGTCTGGGGTGAGTGAGGCCGCCGGCAGGAAGATATGAGGACTTTGGCGGGCTGAAGACGACTCAGAGAGCATGACGTCAAAGCTTCCATGACTGTGACTGACATAACGACGCTTTTCCGCTGGTGAATGTGGTCTACTGCTGACGGGGTTCACACTCTTGGACACTTGCAGCTCTCTCTTAGACTCTGGCACAGGCTGCGTGGCGTTTTCTGTGTTGTACAGCGGATTGTCGAAGCAAAGTTTGGGCAAGTTTTCATCGCGAAGGACCATCTTTATGACTTTCGGTGATGACCAAAATGTATCATGCAAAATATATTCCCTTATCACTCGCTGTATTTCCTGTAAAAAGAAGTTACAGTCATAATACAGAACACGAGATTTTCTAAGCGCTGGTCCTCAGTTATAGACAACACTGTAACACAAACTAGTCCGAGGAACGACCTTCTTAGGCTGTAAAACTCGGTAATGTCCCCTGTAACACGCACGCTCACACCATGGGTACAGTACAAAAAGGGGAGTTTCAGGTACTGTATTGACACTGTAACGCTGAGAGTTGTTCGAGGTGACGAGTGAGTGAGTGAGAGAAGAACACGTAGAGGACCTTCCGAGGGCACAGGGGAAGGGCCACTAACCTGCGTCCGTCTCAGGAAGTCCCTTTTAAGTGGTGTCATGAGGAGGCAGCCAATGATGACGCCTTCGTGAACAGGATATGGAACCCCGAACGACACACACACACACACACACACACACACACACACACACACACACACACACCTGGTTAACTAATACGATAAACAATGATAAGCGTAATAATGCACATATGACACAGGTAATAATTAAGGCATCGTCAGTACAATATTAGAGGTATATCTTTCAGTGTTTGTATTAATAAAATATAAATAAACAAAAACAGTGCCTTGCCCTGCTTTATGCTTGGGAGGACGATGGTTTAACCCTTGAAGGATGATGGTTTAACCCTTGAAGGATGATGTTTTAACCCCTGAAGGACGATGGTTTAACCCCTGAAGGACGATGGTTTAACCCTTCGAATACCACGAATAAAACCATTATCCTCAAAGGCTCAAATTATCACCAGCGAATAATTAAACAACACAACCCCTCCACCACCACCACCCCCACCTACCCCTTCCATCTACACAGGCAGCTGGTTAGTGATATGGGACGAAAAGCATCAGGCTGTCCTGGTTTCGGTATTGGTACAACAATACTGCTGGTCCATGATGTGGGTAGTTGGCCCTCGGCATGACTCATATTGTACAATACCAACAATGGATTGCCTGGCTCACACCTTAGTAGTCTAACGATGTTGTAGGTGACTCCGTCCTTTCCAGGGGAAGTAGACCTACCCCTGGCGAGGGTGGCGTCAAGCTCCCACTCGGTATATGGAACATCACACTCATCGTGCTGTTTGCCCAGCATAAAGCGGCAAAACCAAAACCTTCCATCTCTCACACACGCTAAACATACTGTACAGTTCCACAAATCAACAAAGACGCGCCCAGCAGTTAAGTATAGATCTGACGCATATTAATATAGTTACACTTCATATAAACTTTGTGTCACCATCACACGCTAGAGGAAACGGAAGTTGAGTCTAAACGTTTTTCTTGAATTAAAGGTTAAAGCCTCAAATGTGATCTATTTCACAAGTCACGTCAACAGCTTATCATCATAGGTTGCATTGCATTGGGTTGGGTTAGGTTAGGTCCCAGACAACAATAATCTGACTACTATAACTGGGGCCCATCAGGGGGGGTCCATTTGATCTTCTGTTACTACCTGTTATTAATTCTTTAGTGTTCTTGAGGTGTTTAGGTGAGTTATACATACACACATACATACACACATACATACACACATACATACATACATACACACGTCAATAAGACAAACAGTGAAGTAAACATAGAGTTTCAACCTCTCTCTCTCTACCATCCCCTCAACCTTATACAATATTTATATCTACACGAATGTCAATAAATTCCTCATCGTGATAAGAGACTTTTCCCTCCCACACACACACACCCAAGACCAGACGAACGACGGATAACTAAACGGTGACGTGTTTGTCCTTATTAGTTATGTGACATCCCCTCCCCACACACACCTGCCTCTGTACCTACTGTTTGTGTACCTGTAAGTCATCCAGGTGTACTCTCTTATAACCTTACCTGTAATAACTGATATAATGTACTGTATTTATTTTTTATCTTCACTGATGAATAATGTGTGGAATATAAACACTGTATTCGCTGTATTTTCCTTCAACGTGCTGCTTCTACTGTACCATAGATGTATTTAACTACAAGGATGTGTATACTGGTCACTGTATCTTACTGTAATTGTATTTTTAACTTCGAATGCTTTATAGTATGTGGGATAAAACTGTATTGCTGTATCATGGTGTTCTACTGGATGTTGTACTTCAGTGTTGTCACCGAATACAGCTGTATCTTGACCATCTTTCTTTTCTTCCAGACAGTGGTTATGAAAGTAAACGCCAGACGCAGTGTTCGTTTGATTGTTCGCCAGTACTGTCGAAAGTGTGTGTGTGTGAAGGTATGCGGAGGATATGTGTATGTGTGTGTGTGTGTGTGTGTGTGTGTGTGTGTGTGTGTGTGTGTGATACTACCAAAAGTTTCCTACGTTAACCCTTTCTTTTCTAACCTCCTTATCCAGCCCTATCCTCCCCCCCCCCACCCTCCCTTACACCTAACTAAAGACACAAAACAAACACAATAACTACCTAATCAGGCAGTCAAATTATAACCAAAATAAACACATACACGAATAGTTAACGTGCTTCATCTAATGCTAAGTTGGGGGGAAGCAAAAATTTCACCGTACCAATCTGTTCTCCGGCAACTGTTGTTCTTCCTCTCTTGGGATTCCCGCCGCTTGCCTAGTTACTCAGACCAGCTTGAGTGTGGAGGGAGACGAGAGGTGATAGAGATCAAATTTTTACTAACAAGGAAGTGGTGAGGAGTGGTGTTTGGTTTTAACCCTTTGATGATAGTGGTTTAACCCTTAGAGGATGGTGGTTTAACCCTTAGATGATGATGAAGATGATTATTATTATTATTTAACCTTTTGATGACGATGATTTAACCCTTTGATGACGATGATTTAACCCTTCGGGACTCAAAGGGGTTAAATCACAACCAGATGGAAGAGTTTGTTTTCACTTGTGTAGCCAATGGCGTCTGTTTGTTTACGATAACAGTAATAATAAGTGTATTTTTCTTCTCAGTTTTGTGTAATTAGAAAAGTGTGGAAGATAAACAACATTTAAAGTGTGTAGACAAAATTAAGATGTTAAATAACTTCTTAACTTCGTCTCTTAAGTGAAGTTTATATAACTTCTAAAATACAAATGTTAAATGTTTTGTGGTGTTTGGGATCTAAAGTTAACTAAGGAAAAGAAATCTTATCGTTATTTCTTTTATTTTTTTACTTACGAGGAATATTTATTATAGGAACCTTTGTGAATCGTAACTAGGGTCAACTTGTACTGGCAATAAAGAGAAGAGGGAGAAATGAGATTAAATAAACACGGGGTATGAGGAACAAAAGAAAGAACAGGGGCGAATATGAGAAGAGAGATAAAGGGAAGAAGAGATATTAACATGGCAGGAGACGAGAGAAGGGAGAGACCTCACCAAAATACCCTCCCCCCCCTTCCCAGTTCTACCATTGGTCGTGACCTTGAGATGGCAACACCCGGTGAGGAGAAAGAGAGTTGCTAAGTAGGGAGTATTTCCAGCTGATTATCCCAAAGTAAACAGCAACACTGCCTCCTCTTACCATTGTGTATTGTAAAGAGGACGAGACATATAGTTAGGATCACCTGAAGAGTAAGCACCCTACCTTATTTTACCTGATAATTAAACACCTTAACGCTATCTGGGGATTTTGTTAGGTTAGGGATTCTTTAAGGCATTTATAAGTAGTGACTAAATAACTTAAGAGAATTTGTTAACAATATTGACTTTCAGACATACGTATTCCCAGATCACCTGAAGATTAGTTAATTAGTCTACCTGTACTGTATACCACACCTATTGTATTCCTGTTGAGATGTTCGTGCCCTCCTAGTAAAGTTGATGTGTGTGTGTGTGTGTGTGTGTGTGTGTGTGTGTGTGTGTGTAGCCTGAGGTTCAAAACAGACACTCGGCGTAGAGCAAAACTAAGACCTTGTAAACGATGGTGATTTACCATAACAACGTGTAGTGGTAGGGTAGTGGTAAACACGAGAGAGAGAGAGAGAGAGAGAGAGAGAGAGAGAGAGAGAGAGAGAGAGAGAGAGAGAGAGAGGAGAGAGAGACGACAATTTTATAGTCATCATCATTACCAGTGCCATCCCAACAACGCCAGCACGAGCGAACAACATCCCCCTGGCATTAAATCTCCACCTTAGCCGCTCTCAACAGCACAACTCACGGGAATATATACGCCAGACGAAAAGTCACCTACGCTCGCCTCCTACAGTCAGGTGTTGACAGAGCGTGAATCCTCGGGTGAGAACGATACGTCACCACCAACGTCACCCTCGAGGTTCAAGTTTTACCTTTAGAGTTATCAAGGCTGTATCCGGGGAAAAGAGGGGGGGGCTCGTGTCCGGTAATGTCCGGAAGTCTGTGTGGCTGTTAGGTTTGTCTATAAACAAAATTGATGTAAGGTAAAGTTAGAGAGAGAGAGAGAGAGAGAGAGAGAGAGAGAGAGAGAGAGAGAGAGAGAGAGAGAGAGAGAGAGAGAGAGAGAGAGAGAGAGAGAGAGAGAGAGAGTGTGTGTGTGTGTGTGTGTTTAGATGGGCCATTTAAAATAGGAAACGTTTTGCATTTACACATATGATGGTCATGATAACATTTGGTGCAAGACGTGCTTTCTGTGTGATGTAACGAGGGAGACACAGACACACACACACACACACACACACAGAAAAATAAAAAACCTTGTTTACTGAGTGAGACAGTCATACTGTACACACAAGGGCATATTACAGTCATCCACTCAAGGGCATATTACAGCTATCCACTCAAGGGCATATTACAGTCATCCACTCAAGGGCATATTACAGTCATCCACTCAGGGGCATATTACAGTTTACAAGTTATTTACGTTTGTCTGTAACCTAAGACAACTGAGTAAAGTTTTTTTGGGAGGCATTAGAACGTTTTAAGGTGTATTACTGAAAACATTATAAAGAGATATTTGTTTATGATTATTGATAACGTGTGTGTGTGATGATGTTTACAGCCAGATGGAGATAATAGAAGCATTCAGATATTAATACGATAGTTTGGGATCTATTGTCCGGTACTCAAAAGTTTGTTATATTTTCCTAGTAAATGGAAAAGCAATTAGTAAGGTAGGTTAAGGTAAAACAAGCAAACCTAACTTAACTTTACATAATTTAATCTAACCTAACGTAAACCTAACCTAGATTAACATTATTTAACCTAACCTAACTACACGAAGGAGAACTAGTAGCTGTAGAGTGTGACGAGTAACACAGGAACTACATAATACACGTTACATCCGCCGGACATTGACGCTTCCTAGACTCGCTTTTGTTTCCCTTGATTTAGCCCGGACCAAAGTTAGTGACGTCACGTGCGTGT